GTTGCCATTTCCCTATGGCTGTCAATGTCCATAGGTACCATCGCCGTATGGGTTATAGCACCCATAGCGCTTGGCTTTCCATCCGCTAAGTAGACCGGTCTTGCTTTCTTCGCTTGTTTGGTGTGGAGGCCGTATTTGTCACATATTTCTTTGTCGATGAAGTCTTCAGTGGCCCCCAAGTCGAGCATTGCATATATTGTTGTTTCTTCGCTTTCTCTGTTGTATATCTTCGTTTTGATCATCACATGATCTCCATCTTCTTCTCCTCTTTGCGTGTGTAGTACCGTATAGTAGTTCGCTAATTTGATGGGTTTTCCAGGTCTACATCTTGGGTCTCCCAGACCACCGTTTACTGGAGACCCTCTTCGTTTTCTACCAGTGAATCCTCCGCTATCATTTCGCGGATGTTACTTCTTTTCTGATTTTGGAAACGATTATTTCCAGTAGCTCTGTTTCCCTGGTATCCGTTGTCCAGTCGGCTTCTGCATTCTCGTATCCGATGCCCTGCTTTTCCACACCGTAGGCATAGTTTCCCATTCATCCTTCTGGTGTATTCTTCCTTAGACAGATTCAGAGCAGGCCCTGCTCTTGACTTTTCCAATTCTATCGGTTCGCCTGGTGGTAATGTTCGACTTTCTCCTCGAGGTGCTTGCGGTCTGAAGGTCCCATCCACATTCCTGGATGATTGGACCACCCTATGTGCTATAGTATTTTCCGAGTTGCTCCAGACCATGTTTAATTTACTTTCTTTGTCGATTGCCCATCTTGCAAATCGTTCGGCTGTCGTATAGCGCAGGTCAGAGATTCCCCATGCCTCTCGGAGTCTCTCACTGCAGTTTCTCAGGAGGATGATGTAGAGAGTCGCATCATCAAACTCGGCCTCATATTCCAACAGTCGACATTCGTTCCAGTATACTGAGAATATTTGTTTTCCTTGTTGGAGTTTTTCTAGCTTTCGTCTTGCTGTTTCTTTGGTGTTGGGGTCTCCAAATTGTTCAAAGAGTGTCGCCTTGAACTCTTCGTACGTGACCCATTCCCTCTGTTTCCATCCATCTTGGAAGGGCATGATCCATTGTCCCGCGAGTCCTCTGAGTAGAGATTCCACATATGGAATCTTAATTTCATCATGGTGATCTCCGTATCCCTTAACTGCAAAATATCCCTCGCATTGCGCTAAGAATATTCGTAGCTTATCTTCGGCTCCTTCGTATGTGTCAGGCTTTTTTACTTTTGGTCGTTGGACATTTCCTTGCCCTGTATTTCGCGTGGCTGCAAGAAATGCCTGAAACTGATTTTCAGTCATTCCAAGTATGCTGGTTTCTGGTGCCAGAGCGCCTGGGGCCGGTGGCCCAGGTACTGCGGATCCCGACATTCTCTCGGGTCATGGCTTTCCAGCAGGAGAGCTATCAACTGGTGATCCTTTCTCTGGGGTTACTGGGCTTGCTGCTCTCGAGGGTTCTGTTGAGATGTGATCTAGGGCGTCTCTGAATCCTCCTAGATTAAGATTTTGATCGTCGATGTCAATATCTCCTTCCCGGTCTGGGTTGAAGGATGCCATCTTGTATCGTTTGGCGTCGCACTAGGTGACGCTTTGTAATGTAATGATCCCTCTTTGGATAGTTAGTGCTTGGCGACGGGGAACGATACTTCTCTTCCTGTCTTACGATAGCTCTAGGCTTCTGCCTATGTTGCAGATAGTACAAGACCCTTGTCTTCTACCAGGAGCGCCTATCGTAAGCTTTCTCTAATTCTTCTTCGTAAAGCTCCTTCCTTGGCGTAACGATAACGTTGCAATAAAGGTAAAGATCGTAAGGGTGTTTTATATTCGTTAAAGTAATAAGTAGGAAAAGTACTTAGAACAAAGTGTGAAGAACCTATTTTCCTCGGCCGCATCGGCCTCCTTATATAGTGTTCTTTCCGCTTTTAGTCATGTGACCTAAAGTGGTCACATGTGCGAAACTAAATCATAACAAACTAATCATATGACCAAAGTGATCACATGCTCAAAACCCCTGACCTCATAGCGAGGTCATGTGCGAAACTCATAAACCAATCATAACGCAATAAACAAGTCATATGACTCCACTGAGTCATATGCACAAAATCCATGAAATCATCATGAGGTCATGTGCGAAACATAAATCATATGCACAAGGCTTGCCCATACAGCACACTCGTAAGGCATACTCGTCAGGCGCATGTCCCATGACTCATACTTGAGCCATGTGTAAAAGCATCACAAATCCCACACATAACTAATCATATAACCCAAATAGGTCATATGCGTGAAACAATAACATACCTGTGACTCATAACCATGTGTCACGTGAAAAACCCTTTCCTCGCTAAGCCACGTTCGTGACAGTAAGTTGGGTTTTATCAGCCTTGGAGCCATGACTCTGCTATGTAGTAAGACCAATTGAGTGAGGTATGCAATTATAACATGTTCACAATGTGCTAATCACATTTCGGGTTAAAGTACAATAGTTAGCAGGTAGCCTGCTCTACCAGAAAGGAAGTGAGAGCTGAGAACTAAAGGAGGCTTTGAATGTGTACTGGGAAAACTAAAGAGTAACCATTCAACCAAGTATACTGAAATACTGTCTGTTGAAGTGTACCTTTTCTATTGTAGAATAAGGCAGTCTCTAAATACACAAATCGGGTCATCTCTAGCATGAATGAAACTAATCAAAGGTATCAAGTGATACACTTTGGTAAAACCACTTAAGTATCAAAACGATAGTTAAAACAAAATATAAAACAAAACCACATATCAAACAATACTTAAACCAAATCAAGTATCAAAGTAATACTTAAAACAAAATGTAAAACAAAACCATTAACCGAGTATCCATACCGGTTACAGCAACTCAGTTAATCTTGGTGATTACATTGATTGGATCGATGAAATTAACACAGCCTGTAATAAGTATACAAAAGATAATCAGTATAATTTCAATGAAACAGGCTTATTTTTTCACTATAACCTGTACTGGTACTTGGTTGGAGATTTTATTTTATGTTTTGTTTTAAGTATTGCTTTGATACTTAGTTTATTTTAAGTATAGTTTGATACTTAGTTTTATTTTATGTTTTGTTTTAAGTATCGCTTTGATACCTGGTTTGTTTTAAGTATTGTGTGATACTTGGTTTTGTTTTCTATTTTGTTTAGGTATCGTTTTGATACTGAAGTGGTTTTACTAAAGTGTATCACTTGATACCTTTGATTAGTTTTGTTCATGCTAGACAAGACCAGATTTGTGTATTTAAAGACTGCTTAATTCCACGATAGAAAAGGCAGACTTTGACGGACAGTATTTCAATATACTTGGTTGAATGGTTATTCTTTAGTTTTTTCAGTACACCTTTGAAGCCTCCTTTAATTCGCAGCTCTCATCTCCTTTCTGGTAGAGTAGACCACCTGTTAACTATTGTACCTTACCACGATAACATGATTAGTACCTTGTGAACATGTTACAGTTTCCTTCTCCATAAAATATTCTTCTCTTTAAGCCAGTACAGAGCTTGAACTTTGCTAGCCAGCCATGGCTCCATTTTGGACAGTCAAATTCTGGTATATCTTCTAACTCGCAAACCTTTTTGCTTTTACTTTGATGATATTCTTAGTAACTATGATACTTATTATATAATATCATTAGTTAGTTATTATTATTATAGTCCTGAGAGCTTCCACAGAGTATTAAATTTAGTATTAATGAATAGTAACTCGGAAATAAGGACAAGTATAATATACCTTTCCCCTCACTTTGCTGAACCCAAAGCTTTAGCATCTCTTCCACTTGTAGGAGCTTAACGTGGGAGATTCTTTTATGACCAAGTTCGTTTTCAGTCATTCATGCCCAATGGTCATAGCCTTTTGAGAGAATGTTTGTAACCGTTTTGCTGTCAATATGATAGGATGCTGCAAGTGATGCATTCGATGGTCTTTTGCCGCCGTCCGATGGAAATTTCTCTTTATAGAGTTGAAATTTAGCCAGGTTCGTGAGATTTTGACGCTTGGTTCGGAGGCCGCGTTCCCGATTTACCCGTTGTTGAACACTTGTTACTCGTCTTGATGGCACTGTCATGGACTCGGAATCTTTGCTGCTGAGACTTTGAGAGGTGCTACAGCTGGCAATGGCATTTATTATTAGTTTATATTTTTTTTAAATACTGTCACAGTCTTCCCTTCTATTTCTTCTCATTTGTTTGTTTGTTTATTCTCTTCCCGCTCAACCTTCCCCCCCCCCTTTTTTTCACGCCAATCTTTTACAAATTTTTTTCTCTGACAGGGGTTTTCCGGAATTAAGAGTATGGGAATGAACTGGAATTGGTAACTATAAGAAACATGGAATTGTTGGAGGGAATCCTCATAGCTCGAGTAGTGTAAATCCCCGGGGCCTGGAAGTAATAGAGGGTTGGAAGTTTGGGAGGCGGGAAGTATCGGAGGTTCCACTGTACTCGAGTACACGGCTAATGTTTCACGGAAACTCCGGTTGAGTGTGCCACGATGCATACCGCATTCTCAGACACATCTGGTGAAATGTATAAGTTTGGAGTTGTGGAAGTGGAGAAAAATGTACTAACAGTTACCAATTTTTAAAAGTCAATTTTGATAAACTTAAACCTTATGTATCACGGACAAACTGTTTAGGGGGCCCTCCTCTACCGTCCCGTCACTCATATTTATACCGCCCTTGATTTATTGATATGATTGAAGGGTACAGTAGTAATTGGGAACCTTAACATACCAAAGATATCATATCTAACTTGTAGCAAGGACAGTGAGATGATGAGGCTTTGCACGGTAATTTGGAATACAGCTGATAGTTAATAGGACTCTACTAAATTAATTTGTCATGAATTACATAATTTGGGAGGGTGTTTTTAGTTTCTACCTTTTTTTTCTGGCCATGTTATCCTTAAGAACCCTAACCAAATGTAGATATTTTGTGGTCCGAAGCAAGGGCTGTGAAATGATGGGCCCCGTCCAACAAGCGAAACAAAAAAGATAGGTTACCCGGAAACGTGAAAAAGGTGAATAAGGGAATTGCCGCAATTACTCCCCCTCAGGTATCAGCATCGACATCGACATCAGCATCAACAGAAGCACCAACAGCTACTTCACGCCCACTCTGCAGAGCCCCCTTCACAAAACCCTCACTCCAAACCCATAGCCTCTCCGCCAGCCTCTCATCACCAGCGGCCGTGCTACAACTCTCCTTCCGCGCAATCGGAACCCAGTACTCGCCCCTACAGCCACCAGTCTCGACCTCCTTCGCGGCCGCTAAGAACACACCTGTCGTCGCACCATCCTCCAAAGTCTGCCCTATCCACCTGAAAAACTCGGAAAACACGCTTCCGAAGGCATTCCCGAAATGCTCCTTCCAAGTGTCCATGGAAGAGGTAGGTATGTTCCCGGGGAAGTAGGCGTTGACAAAGACCTTCTCGTTCTCCAATCTTCGGGAGAGGGCTTTGGCGAAGAGTATATTCGCTAGCTTCGAGCGGGCGTAGCGGTAGAGCGAGGCGTAGGCAGTACCTAATTTGGAGGAAGGGGGGGTAGGGGAGGTGAGGGATTGGACGTCAATGGATCCGCAGAGGTGGTGGAGAGATGACGAAGAGACGATTATTCGGGTTGATGAGACAGAGTGGGTTTTGGGGGTTGAGAGTATTAGCGGGAGGAGGGTGTTTACCAGGTGGAAGTGCCCCAGGTGATTTGCTGCGAATATGGTTTCTACACCCTGTGGGGAGAGTTCGTAGTTTGGTATGTTCGGAATGCCTATATCCCGTGGGTCGATTAGCACCACCAGTCCCTTCCGTTTCCATCAACTAGAAGAAAAGGAAATACAAACCAGCGTTCAAAAACAGCATATCCAACCTCCCCAATCGCCTAAGCAGCTCCTTCCCAACCCTATCCACAACCCTTAAATCCGTAAGATCGCACTCCACAAACTCGACCCTTTCAGCCACCTCCTCATGGCATGTAATCTTCCCCCACTCCTCTCTCGCAATCTCAAACTTCTCCCGACTCCGTGCGAGAACGACGACATGTCCGATATCATGTAGGAGTAGCTGCTTGACGATCTCAGCCCCAATCCCGCTCTGTCCTCCGGTAATAACGGCGATTTTGGACCACAGTGGTGGGCATTCAGAGAGCGTCCACTCTACACTCTGCAAGAAGCCGCTCTGATAGAGGGGGGAGAGAGGGTTCGGGATTGAATAAAGGAACATTGATTTATGGAGATTGGTTGCTGCAGGGAGCTAGGGAAAGGCGCAGAGTTTCGACAGCTATTGTAGCTAGTTCTAGCTGTAAATTTAAACTGTGTTCAGGTGTGCGGATCGACAACGTGACTTAGGTTTGCTTTTTGCGGGTGATTAGATAAGAGTTTGGCTTGGCGTTGAGGCTGGTGTTTGAATTTTTGAGCCTCATCCATATACGGGTACCGTGCTCGAGCACCTGCGGTCTATCAGCCGTGGCAAAACAGAGGGACCGGGCGACAACGACTAGAAAAACCAGGACTGCGAGTAACTTTAGTTAGTTACCTTGAAGTTTCACCCATATCATTCTATCACTGAAAGGGTTAGAAGTATCATTAAAAGTGTACGAGTAGTAAATCCCCAGGGCCGGACTGTCGTAAGAACTTGAATAATTGAAGCGCATGCATGAGATCCAAAATTCTCGGGAGAGGGGACAAAAAACACACCCCTATCCCCCTTCCGAGACAGAACTTCTTCCCTTTCTCGGCCTTACTGAGAGAGGAAAGCCTAACGACATTGTACTAGTACACTGTTCAATTATTCAAGTTTCTACTCGGGTAGGTATTTGAGACCCATGTTTTAACCTCCCGCTTATGATTATTAGGTTGTTAATACCAATATCATGGTCGAACCCCCCCCCCTCCAGTTGTTTCTCTCTCTGCCAAATTTCTAGCCTCCAATCTTCAGTCATCATCCTCTCCTTGTCACAACAAATTCCGACAAACACTTTTCCGATTGTTATACACCCGAGCACCGTACAATTCATCATAAGCCACAGCAAGCCTACTATCTTTTGAACAATATCAAAACTTAGTCCGTTATATGCTTTAATAGTATGAGAGGGTGTGTGCTAGATCGGTTGCGATGGAGGGGTATTGTTACGGTTATGGGATAACAGTATAAGTTAACTGAGTTAGATTATCTTCTTGTTTGTATAATTTTAAGGGTTACGTTAGTGCCTGATGTGGTACATACCCTGAAAGTGGGGTTGTGTAGTTGTTTTCTATTTATACCTGCTCATGTATTTTCCTTTCCTCTCTTTCTTCTCTCTCTAGTTTGTATCTTTGTATTTCCACCATTCAAAGATATTTTCTCTCCCTCCACTACGTTACGTCATTAGGCACTGGCAGTCACTGTTTCCTTTTGGTTTCAACATTGCGTCCTCGGTATCATCCGTGTCTGTTCTCCGTGTCCTAGTTCGACTTGCAACTCCTGTTTGCTTCTCAGTCTCCCTTTGTTTCTCTTAATACCCTGTCTCCGTGTTCCGGCATCCTGGCTCTCACCGATACCCCTTGACCACCTCTTGTCTGTCTCGACCATTACAGGTATAATTATTAAACGGACACGATTGTACTGTACTGCACTATACAAGTACAGTAATATGCTACTCGGGTATCCTTCTACCCCATAGCGGTCAGTTACTCAATTCAATATACCGGTATGACTATCTTGATCTTTTTTAACAGCTTGCAACTTTTGTAGATTTGAATCTATATCTCATTCTTAGTATAATATAATAATCATCTATTCCCAATACAATCGGTTACTACCCCCACGTAGCTCACATAGGTAATTTCCTTTTAAGTTAACTTGTAATAAGCCCGCGCCGAGCACATCAGCAAGATTACTAAGCTATAATAAACATCCGCAGCTCCAGCTGTCGTAAAAATCTCATAATCCACCATCAGATCATCAGCGGGAATTGTGGAATGGACACAATATAGGTTTATTTCGACAGGCTCCCAGAAACGCGATTACCAATTTATGAGATCAAACACACTTATAATGCTCAGGCTTTACTGTGCGAGGAAAGCATTAATCCTCTTAGGGCTTTCTGGCCTCGGAGAAAAACGAGGTTCCAGATCTGACGCAGGTAGAAGATTATACGAGAGTTCGTCCGCTTACCCCTTTGACTTCATTATATCCAAAGATGCCACAGACTCTCCCATTATCCCGCATTTTCGTTCTTGATTCTACAAAACCCTTTATTTTTTTCACTTCTACCCGAATACGACTTCCGCGAGCTTAAAGAAATAGATTAAAAATATCGAAGAGTTGATGAACTGATTGCACTTGTCTCATTGTAGGAGACCTCTCGCGTGAGGCGGGGCGGGATAGGGGCGACATTCTCGATAAGAGCCGTGAGAAACCAACGGGCCTAAATACGTGGAGACGGCATTCTTTGGTCGTAATCTACGACACAGTCATCAGTGTGTTCGACAGTGAGTTATCGTATGATGTAGTGCCGGAAGCCATGGGGGGGTGCAAATATTGAATTTATTGTGACTCTGAACAATAAAATGCCCTAATTTACTACTTGTATCCTCTACCGATTGAAGAGATCAAAGTTACACCTCCCCCCATACCACTTCTGGCGCCAGACTGTATTATCGTATTGTATGATGACTCTTTGTAAAATTACTGTTTGAGCACTACTCGTACTGCCAGACACGAGTGATTGTGTATGACGAACTTTATGCGCTTCAATGGATTCCGAAAGAAGGAAGCATAGCCAGATATCAGTTAGTGAAAATAGAAGAGTGAAAGGGCTGAAGAAAAAATTAAAAAGCTTAGGGGAGGGGAAACGCTTGGCCTCCCATACCCCATAGGTAGCGTACAAACACAGCTCCTTATGTCCTGTCCACGAATAAAAGCACTGTGATAAAGTATGATCTAGTACTGTACCTAGCCTCTACCGCTCCAGAGAGGGGGGTTACATGGAGAACCGTTTTAAAATTCTGGGGCCATGACGTTTACTGTGTAGTATGATAGTCGTAAAATTCTGTTGTAAGCTCAAGAATCTTTGCCTCCCAAGCAAAAGCGAGCTTTGCTATCCAGCGCATGGGAACAGACTCTACCTTTGCCAAAGGTCGGCCTCGTACAAGAAGGGAAGAATAGGAAACTCTTGAGTCCGCAGGCATCCATAGAGCGGCATTCCGGGAGAGTTTCCTCGGGAGCTATAAGAACAAGACAGTTTACAGTACAAGTAAATATTATTTATACGGCCCGTAGCTAAACAGTACATATATCGGATATCATAAACCCTCATATTACTTTTTACCGCACCGATGAACCCAACCCAAGCAGCCAGCCAGCGTGAACAGGAAAGAGAAAAGAGAAAAGAGAAAATCGTAGCTGAAGCAAAAGAAAACACGAAACGACCCGAGGTCTAAACATTCTCCTCTTCTTCCGCGATCCGCTGATATCTCGTAGCGTCACCTCTACAAGCACGCACACGGGGGGGAGTCTCATACATCCTATAGTAGTCCACCGGGGCACCGCCGAGGAGTGCTTCCCCATCATTGATAACGTTATCTTTGAATACGGGTGCGGGATCACACCAGAAGTCTTTGCAATTTGTGAGAATTCCTCGGGAGAATGGGTTACCGCGACGGCGGCGGGCAGGGTTACTGGCGTCCTGGGCGGTATGGACGAGGACGTCTACACCGAGGAGTTTCTTCGCCCGTGAGAAACAGGTGCCATTAGCGCCGCGGCGGTGGTGGTGGTGATAATTTGGATGGTGGTGTCCTCCGCTGGCTTCTGCGGACGGCTCGGGACGCCGGGACGTGGGGAGTAATTGGACGCCTTCCATTCTAGCTCCGCTGGTAGCGATGGTGGATGCTACGGCTGAGGTGATTTTTTTGCCGTGGCCGCGGTGGTGGCGGCCGGAGGTCATGGATTCCCAGGTTGTCTGCGCACGGGCTATCTGGACTAGTTGCACTAAAAGGAGCATGGTCACCCATGAGGCTTGGAGCACGCCCCAAACAAATATGTAAGCCGTGAAAGGGTCCTGGAGCACGGCTGAGCAGAATGGCTCTGCTAGGATGCTGCATTCCGCTTTCGGGATGAGGCCAAGAACTGTGTAGTGAATGATAGCCAGACGGACGAGCATAAAGATGCCTATCTCAAGACTAAGCACGTAAAGGAAGAACTGCCTAAGATTTCTGACGCCGATACAGTTGAAGACCCAAGGGCAATGACTAGGTTGGTGTTAGGAACGCGCTATCAAAAAACATGCGGGAAAAAAATAAGGGACTTACTGATCATGCTTGGCAACACACCTGCGGCATTTGCGGCAGTGCTTGCTCCGTAGTGGCATACGAACCATGCATTCAACACAGAAATTGTAGTCATCAAATTTCCACAAAGCCAGGAGCTCTTCTATAACCGCTTTCTGCTCTGTTACACTGGAAAGCTTGGGTATATAGCCTGGGTGGTAAATCATGCATATAGTGTAAAAGTAGATGCAAGACGAGAATGTTACTGCGAAAAACATATTGCTGAAAGGAGCCGAACTAAAGGTGTCTTTGAACAAATTGTGAGTACTCTACCCACTATTGGCTGTTGGGCTAGGGTTGGGTACAATTGGGGTGAGGGGGAGACTTACTCGGCAGAATGTGAAACAACCATCGTTCCGCAGTCCAGAATATGGTCCCCACAAATATTCCTGCTAGATATGGTGTATTGTTTATTACTTTCTGATCACCCTCCGCATAATTGCCCGCTCTGATAGCAATCCAGTGTAAGCCTAATCCGGAAATGACCGCCGAAAGGATACCCGGAATCCAAGAGAGATAAGTTAAACACATTATCATGGCCCATATGATTAGGGTCGGCCAACAAAGAAAGAATCTGTTGAGCACAGTGGTTTTGTCCGCTACTCGTACCCCCAAGATTGTCCCATTAGGATGTAACGGGTTCCCATCCTTGCCATAGCCGCAATCCTCTAAAGCATCCCACCAAACTCTCTGTGTCTTCAGTTCTTCCGCCACTGTCGCCGGACTTTTCCCCTCATTGGTTTTTGCGAATCTGTCGGCTCCGTACTCAACGAGCTTCTGTACACAACCAAAGTTTCCCCGTACCAATGCCCAGTGCAATGCAGTAAAACCCATATCATCAACAGCACGAACATCTGCCCCCCAGCGTAGAAAGAGATCCACAGCACTTGAATATCCTTTGTAAGCTGCCCACATTAACGAAGTGTGTTGGTTCGAATCTGGAATGTCCACAGGAATCCCATTATGCAATAACAACACCAACAGGAACATGTTCCCCTCAAACGTAGTTAAGTGAAGTGCATTGTATCCATGAATGTCTTTCATACAAGGGTCGGCGCCGTGCTTCAGCAGAAGGTTAACGAGGTAGTAGTGTCCACGCTGCGCAGCCCACATTATAGGGGTAGCATTAGATTCGCCTCCAGCGGCATTCACAGCTGCTCCTCGCTCTACCAGGAGCTTGCAAATTGCGTACCGATTGTTGATCGCTGCCCACTACCTCAGTTAGCCTCTTAGATGAAGGGCGCAAGCTTGGGAAGATCAGATAAGCTAAAAAGGGTGGGAAAAATGAGGGGCTAAGGTACATGTAACGGCCCGACCCCATCCTCGCCCAACCAGTCCGCAGTAACCTTCCCACTATCGAGTAATGCACGAACAGCGACCTCGTCACCGTTGACACTCAGCTTGATAATATCATCCTTAAGCTCCAACTCAGGCGGCGGAGAGCTTGCAATCATATCCTTGAGCTCCAGTGTATCTGTGTCCACCGCCGGCGGTGCGACCGTGCTTTTCGACGGTGTCGGATAGAATCCCGGTGCTTGCCGGGTAGAACTACTGGCCATCTATTGAGGAGTATAAAAAGGGAGGAAAGAGGGAAAGGGGTTTTCAAGATACCGGAGTGGGTGTGCGAAAAGAAGCTTCAAGGCAAAGAGATTTTGTTATGTTGGGGGTGAAGTGAAGGAAGGCTAAAGAGTTGAAAAGGTCAAAATCAGCTCCGATGGCCACATCGTGTAACCCCCAAAAGTTGGTTGCAAATGCAAACGCGGCTACATACTCCGTAAATAGTGTCTTGGCGCACTTACGAGACAAAGTTATCTGATGCGGCGACAGCAGTCTTGATCTAATCTGCATCTGGTTGCCACGATCTTATCTAATCAGGGTGAGCGCCGTTAGCTGATCTCGCCAGAGGATCACCATGTTGAATGCTCCTCCATTCAAGCCTCAATACTAAAACTAGCAAGACCCGAGACCTCGAGGGTTGGCGTTTGTTCCTGTAGGTGTTGGCTCGACGTGGCGATTTTGCTGTTTCCGGTGTTTTCCATTGTTAGGGTTATTTGTTGACTCTGTTTTCACTCTGCCCGTATTCGTTTCATGCCATTTCGGCCATGCTTCATCGTTGGCGCACTACTCGTAGAAAGAATAGGGCAAAATGAAGAGATCGCCTTTCCAGTTTTTTATGTTTCCACAGCCCGGTGGACAATCAATTAGTCATTTTGTAAAAACAATTATGCATAGATGTTATATCTACCACTCATTAATTGTCCTTACACGAAAATAATTTTTTTTTACCGGCAAGAGGTGCACCCGTTCTAATAAAATTGGGTTAGTACAAATACACCCGTAGGGGAAGGGGGCTGTTTTAGAGGAATTAATAAGTCGTCAATAGAGTAAATTGACCGGGTGTGGCTTCCATCTTTCTTTTTTTTTCCACTTGATACTGACATTGCAAGTCCTAGTGGATGTGTAAGAGACGGATCCTGCGTCGATTGGCTTCGCCTAATAAGATAAATGATCACGCCGGAGAATAAGATACGACATGTCACGAGCCCCAAATAATGCTGTCGAGGCCGGGTATTTCTCTACAAACACTTTTTTCGTGTTATTTCCAGTTGTGAGTTCAGGTATCTCTCTCGCCAAGCTGATAATGAATATAGGGAGGTGAATGTGGAAGAGGTATTTATCTCTGAGGACATGTTATGAAATCGGCAGAGTTTCCCGAATCATCATACCTCATTTTTTCAGAAATTAAAAAATGACCGATATACCAGAGCCTTGGTTTGAATTGAAACCAGCCTCAAGGCTGATTTTGCAATCCTCGGGGACTACGAGTCCAACTCACCAACGAGGCGAGGAGTTCCCTATCAACTCCCGACTCCCCACATGGATCCTCGTGCCGAATTCTAAAGATACACACCAGATGCCGTAATTTTCTTAATCAAATCTCTTGCACACAGCACCCGACTATCAGTAGGATGGAACATCCCAATTTATAGCAAAAAAGACAAGAAATAAATAACCTACACCTTCTCCCCATCCGCCCCAGCCAGGATCTTAAGCAACAATATCTTCCTCAAAATTAAAACACAAACCCATTCCTAATGAATTCATGCTTCAATTTTAACTGGGCTGCAATAGGCTCTATTAGCCCCCAAGAGTCAGACCGGAGGTGCAGACTTTGAAAAGAGTTGAAAAAGTTGAGAGTCAAGCACAAGTTAAGTGGGCTAGTAGGACACTGTTGAAACATACTTCTCGCACTACTGCAGTGTTATTCCTACTACTAATACTTTCTCCTTGCATTAAACCTGATGGCGCATCTAGACATCCTAGACTATTGAAGATACCTCCTTGCCTTTCTCACACACCTCTTTTCTTCTTATTGTTATTGTTCGCTCAAGCTATTTGTCTTGCTCCAAAACAGTAGATAGTCAGGGTCTTCAGCTCTTCCCTTTGAAAGTGTTAAGCATTCAAGTTTCTCAAGCAATTGATCATTTCTTCACATCTCGTATCATCGTTCTATCCAATATTCTCACAACAGATACCTTTCTACTTAGGGCGAGTGATTGGTTATGAAGAGAAGAGGTGAAGAGGTGACTAGACTGCGCTGGGACTATTAAAACTTAGACTTTGAGAGGGCTAAACGGTATGGATTTAATTTGATATTAGGTGAAAATTGGTCCTGGTATTTTCCCTGTGGTGAAGTGCTTAGGTGGTAGTCCTCTTTCACTTTGGGTAGTGGGTTGTGTCTGCATGCTGTCACACTAAACGAAGAAAGTGCTATGATATCTTCAGTACAATAACCTTGAATTCCGTGAGATATATTAATACAAGCTTGTCATATAAGTTATTACGTGTTAATTCTTCCTCGCTAGGTTCCAAAAGACTAAACCTCACCGTGCTCTTGGTGGAAACAAGATTGAGCCAAACCCCAAACCAACGGGCTCGAGATTTGCGCAAGTATAACAGCCTCTAGTGATTGGGTTGTTACACCTCTACAAGAACACTTGGGGGATATTGTTTTCACATAATATGGTAATCTCAACCCATCTATGATAACCAATGAGGAGAAGAAAAAAGATGTGACAAGAGTGGTACTTGAACCCACGCTCAGTTTCCCGAACCAGGGTGCATGTTAAGATAACCCTAACCTGGCGCCATAACCAACTCGGCCATCTTGCCATTAAAAAATATTATTCTCTTGGAAAAATATCAAGCCTGTGTGGTGTGGCCACTGCCCGGTGAGACTGTTTTCTTGTCGGGGTGGGTTTTATGGTATAGTCCTATGTATGTTAATATGATGGACAGGGTGGTGTCGCAACAACAAATTCATGGGCTGTTTTGCTCTTTAGGGTGGTCCTATCATAGTTGTCTCCCTTATGCCGGGTAGCACAGGCGATGATGGAATAATGGTAAAAATAATGGCATGGTATTTGAACGATGAACCTAAGTCCTTCTCCATACCAGTACGGGCCTAAGCACCCACTACCACCATCTCAATCCACAAACATTTCCCAGTACTGCATTAAAGTAGTCAGTAATTGCCCCGCCTAAAAATTCTGAGAGATACCCCCACTTTTGTCTACAGCTGGATAGCCGATGAGGACACGGGGATATCTGAAGTTGTGCAGTGGACTGCAGCTAGGTTCGTGCCACCGTCCGAAAGAGTAAAGGCTGGGCGGAGGGGCGGTGGGCGAAGAAATGGTAAAATGTGGAAGCGAAACCAAGAATACGAAAAGATAGCATAACGAGCGCCAAAATTCGACTTCTAGCAGCAAAGGATAAAGACCTTTGTGCAAATACACCGCTAACAGCAAGGACTTCCTGAGATTGTGATGCTGGGCAGTGTTCCCAAGAGGCCAGTCCGGTCAGGCCGTGATTCTGGTGTGCCTGAGTTAGTCCGGCTTAAATTATTTCCGATCGCCAAGGACCATGGGCGCCCGGGAAGCCGCCAGATGGAAGGGTTAGGCAACCCAGTCAGACCCACCAGACGCCTGCATGAAGATCGGATGGTCTACTTAGCAACCACGGGACGTAACATTTGATTTGTGAAATGGAATGAGAATGTCAGAAAATACAGGTGGATAAGAGGAGGGCACCTACAAGTGAAATAGAAAAATAGCAGATATCCCACCGTCCGGAGCTCCAGGTCATTCAACTGTAGAATTCACCATATCTTTACTTTCAACTTTCAATCCTCAGATGTCGTTGGCCTGGGGTTCATGGTTGCAACAACTAAGGGTCTCAGGCTGGGGTAGGCGGCAGGCCAACAGGCCAGCAGCCCTAACCCCGGACTGAGCCCCTGTACGCCAAGTCTTGGCAATAGCTTGACTCCACGACATTTGTTTACACCATCCAAAGCACTTTGTCCCCTACAATGGATTCAACAGGAGCCTCGCAGAAGCTCCTGCAAGCGTTATCAGCTCACGAAATCCCACTCGGGGAAGAGGATGTCCTTTGGGTATTCAGCAACGCCAAAACTGCTGCCCCGGTGACACAATGGGTTGAGCGGTTCATTACGGAGGAGACTCTGGTCTCCATAGAAGAGCTTGAGATGTGGGTCCCCCAATTGTTAGCGTGGGGTGTCATTCAATGATTAACATTTATTTATAGATATAATCATCTCAAGAAGACGGGCGCACTATCAAAGCTGCAGAAAGCACACCCTGGGCTCGGGTTTGTCAAACCGCGGTCAGAGGAGGACTTGGAGCTTGAGATTGAAGGGCTACGAAAGAGTACTGAGCTACTGAGGCAACATACAGTCCAACTAAGGAGACAGAAAGCAGCCTTGAAATCTATGAAAGATAAGACGAAAGCTGATAAGGAGCGTAAGCGAAAGCTAGATGAGCGGAGGAGAAGGAAGTGGCTATCTCAGAAGGAGGACCATCAGGCGGCTGTAAGTTTCTGCTCAGTTCGGCACATGCATGGCGAAATCTATTCTAACAGTGATAGATTGATGATTTATTAAGTATCCTAAAAGAAGAGATAATCGACCTAAAGCAATATATGAAGGAGTCTGCCATTGATGTTGAAGGTGTGAATAAGATGTTGGAGAGTGATGACAGGGTACTTGCACGGTTGGAAAGACTTGCAGGCGGCGTGATTGTTGGTGACGATGGTGATGACGGGAAGGAGGTTGTTGAGAGAGTAACTGCGCTTGTAAAAAAGCAAGAGCCCTTCTGAATTTTACCTCTTGAGGAGGGTACTAATGCATCTCACAGGCTATCCACCCTTTCGGCCACAGCACTGAAAACCCGTCTTGATCGAATCTTCTTTGAAGTAGCTGGCTCGCATAACTCGGAGAATGGTGACCCTGAAGTAGAAGAGCTCCAAAAAGACCTTGAAAGTCTATACGCCGAAATCCCGTCAGTAGCAGAAATGGCCGCCGAGCAGGAGTTCCTTCAACCGGTACTGGATGAAGTACACAAAGGTCGGATGAAAGCCAGCGAGGGCCTACGATTAGGTGGAAAATATGTGAGTTCTCTCTATGAAGCTCTATAGAGCGTTGCTGATATAATTATAGATTTGTGATGTCCTCCACCATCTCCAAAAACGCCACAGGGCGACCGCCCAGAGTTTGAAAATAGAGCTTTCCAAGCAAAAAGCAATTTCTACGGTGTTAGCAACAATTGCAGAGGAATCTGTTTCTCCGCTTACAATGCCTCCCAAGGTCACAACTCCAAGTACGCCCCCACCAGCTCCCAAGAGCCCTAGCTCGAGCCCGGGCAAAAAGCTTCCCTTCCGCACGGTTCCGGCTTTCACTCCTCCACGGCACAGGCGTGGTAGAAGCACGGATTTTCCACCCGACGAGGACGAGTACCCTGAACTGCGTATGCTGGCACTATTGGGCATTTCTGTTCCGCCAACTATCACTCCTCTCTTCATATCCCCGATTAAATCTGCGCCACCAACGCCTCCTGTCCCAGTGGTCAAGGAATCACAGATCAGAGAACATATCGTTCAACAAAATTCCAAGCTCAAGGCACAGGAGAAGGAACTTGCAACAGGAGAGTCCGAGCTTACAGAAATGTGGAATGTAAGCCGACTGCTAGAGGCAGCATTAAGGTCTGGTAATGACTTTCCGGGCGCTGGTTTGATTAGCGAGGAGTTAGTTAAGGGCTTAGAGGAGGTTGAGAGTAAAGTCGGCGCTGTGGCTGAGAGGATGGAAGGGATTGCTGGGGGCTTGGAGGAGTTGAAGAAAGGCGGTGGTGATTTAAGTGGGCGAGGGGAGAAAAAAGCATTCGTTGAGAGGTGGGAGAGGTGATACGTCCGTGTTTCGGTATATTATCCGAGATAGGTCTTCTGAGTAAGGTTAGGCCCCCACAGAGACAGTGTGTGGGATAGTGTGCGCAAAAGTTTTAATAAAATAAATATTAATATTTCCTTTCCACAATATCTCTCCTTGGGTTCGGGGAAATGCTTTTGGAGTTCGTGGGTTGTGTGTTTTGGGGGCGGCTTAGTGAAGGTGTGGCAAGATATGTTAATACAGCATCGAGATCTCAACATTACTTCGTGTTGCTTCTCGTGATGGTACCTTGCTTCATTCGGAAACATACCTTCCCTAAACTACTATTATCGAGGAATTGTACCCACGGGCGATTCCTTCTTGACGATGACTTTACTCATTATGGCTCTCGGTGATCTCAATATTAGAGTTTGGTGATTGACACGGGATCCCCCCTATAATAACAAAAACATAGTACCGACGGAACCTTCGTTTGGGGAAGAGATGGTGTTATTCCACCGCTACCTCAAATGCCTCACCAATCCCTCTCACACTCCCAGCCGGAGAAAAAAGACATCTGTTTCCGAGATCCGTGTGTATATTATTTACTCGTGACTGGCCGAGCGGTTCTGGGCGTGGTATACCAGGATACCCACAGTGCTATCAATCAATCTATGATACATCTGACACGACTGGATCTCCAGCCTGGGATCCCGGCCACAGCACACCCGTCGTCAACTCGGTAGTGCTCCGTGCATCTTCCCAAGAGGCTCCATTAAAACTTGGCACAACCTCTTTTCCTATTCTGACTGCCCAGACTAATATACTGTACAGTACTAGGATCTTACTTAGATATTTATTCCACTTTCTGTATAATGATTTTTAGTTTTACCCATTCACTTACGGCGGGTCAAGTACCGTATACCTCGAGTGCAAATAAAAAAACTTAAGCGAGGGTGGCAACAAAGGGAGACACCAAGGCCGAGTTACTGTATTTGGAATATGAGAAAATCAATATTTGAAAAATTGAAAAAAGGGTGTTAATATTAGGACAGGTCAATATATTGTAAAGAATTGATTCTTCATATATCTGCCAATTCACTATGAAATGAAAGTTAAATTTATTATATCCTAAATTTATAGTAAAAGTAGTAGATGAGAGAGATTGATAATCTAGTACTAACTTAATTAACAAGCCATTATTAGTGAGATTATAAGCGATAATTTAAATCAGTTGAGACTGTACCAGTTAAAATGCATATATTGGACCTCTATCTCAAAAAAAATTTTTTTTGATTAGCTACCTAGCTAGAGAGGTGATGTACAGTACGAGTACTGTACTAGTACAAGTGTGATCAATCGAGCACTTCCATTCTTCTGCAACTTGCTTATGTAAGCAAGACAACCTTCTTCTCGCTTAAAATTTTTCTTTTTGCACTCGATGTCTACTTGACCCGCCGTAATTCACTGATTGTCTGCTGGGGTATCCTAAAACCCCCCCCATCTCTGCAAACTACGACTATCTACCCTTCCACATCAGACAAATAAATTCGAATCCCCACTCAGAGTTAACCCCCCAATCTCTGCACTCTCCACGAGGATCTCAACCTCTGGAGCCAGAGCCTGCACCCCCAGACAATCCATTAAGAGGTGCACGGCCTTCTCCACCCTCAAATCCAAGAGAATCACCCAAACCTGGCCCCAATATGGCGGCAAATAACCGGTACAACTGGAGGGAGTCCTCGTGAAAATTGAGCAAGCGGCCGATAACACCGAGCTTGTGGGCACGCAAGAAGACGGCTGCAAGGTTCTGGCAGGGCTTAGCAGGCGAGTCGGAGAAGTTTAGAGAGTATATACGATTGCTGATGAGCTTCGGGAGCAGGTGGGCGAGACTGTGTGGGTTGTAGGAGTTTGGGGCGAGGAGACGGGTAACACGGGTCAGGTGGGCAACGGTATGGTGGAGGAGCTTGGGGCTTTGTTGCTGGAAGCGGAGAAGATTGGGATGAGGGGGGATGGGGCGTTTGGGGGTACGTAGCCGCGGAGCAGGGAAGAAGTAGTTAATGGTGGGTTGGGGGCCGTGACCAGGCCTATCGGGGAGCGGGAGCGGAATGAGGATATACCAGTGCTAACACTCGTGCTAGTGCTGACTCCTACCCAGAAGGTGCAAAACCCCGAACAAGCGCCGACACCACAATCACGATCCCCAGAGAACCGGAACTTTGGCACAGAAAGAGAAAGTACACAGCACCTCCGAGCTCTATGTACTGCATGATCTCACCAAAGCATAGCCTGGATCCTTGAACTGCAATCATGTCCGTGTTATGTCCCATAGCCCTCTCACAATTACTAATACCTATGCAGTCTGCCTTCCAACTCGCGTGCGATGAAAATCCAGTGTTCCCAACCGTCCGGGGCGCCCTACAGGGCCCTGGCGGGCCGTAGTCCCGGGCGTCCCGGGCAGGGTGGGTGAGGACGGCAGGGCATGGCGTCCGTCTTTCATAAAGACGGCTGTCCAAAGGGTTGACACCCGGGCCCCGCAGTCTTAGAGCAAATAGCATCTTCCGGCGGTTATCTGCAGGTCCAGGTCATTACCTGCAGGGCCCGGCGATTACCCACACGGCCCGGCCATTACCTACAGGGCCCAGCCGTCACCCGCAGGAACCTGGCACATCCTGCCCCCTGAGAAACCTCCAGGGCCCGCCCGTCCGTCCCGGGCAGTGATCTGGACGGACGCCGAGATGCCCTTCCGTCCCGGCATCCACCCATGCACTGCCGTCCGTCTGGTCCGCACCCAAGGACGGACGGACTGGACGCTTGGGTTCACTGTGAAAATCTGAAACTTACGGGTAACTTCAATTTACGTGGAGCGCTAGGTAAATTAATTTATATTCATAGAGATCACAGATTACTGATATTCAGCTGCAGAAAGAATTGTCTATCAGGCGAAACTCGAGGGTAAAATCAAGAAGAATTGTGCGGGAGGTGTCCGGGGGCGCTCAACACCCTAGCCCAAACAGATGCCTTCAAGAGAATTCTCACCCGGGAAATCGCAACTCGCAAATTGGTTGCAAAAGATGTGGAGCGTTGTATCCTACAAGTGTAACATGGGGTATCCAAGCACGCCCATGGGAATATGGCCCCGATCAGGATTTACCGTGAAGACCACACGGTAAATGAAGTGGCGGCCCTGGTCGCCTTCTTGAAGCTTCAAAGTACATGGCCAGGTGCCGTGAAGTGGGAAGAAGTAAAAAGACGACAGTTAACTGTGTAATTAGTCCGCAACTCTAGACTATTATGCAAATAAACATGGAGCTTTGGTAAACCACAGATAATTATCATACACAAGATATAATACGACCCTCTAGAGTCACCCAACAACTGAATCCCCTTGCATAGCGAGGAGCTAGGAACCGGAGCCATGGGTGGAGAAGTGGGAATGGCAGGGTTTGATAATTATCATAAACTGTGATCATAGGAGTTGTTTGGATTTGCAATTTTAGCTTTACCTGTTATTTTGGTCGCGGTATGCTGGCTGATCAGTTATTCCTATTGGGCAATACACATGCTGTACTTTGCCATTTCACATAAGACTCCATCTGTTTGCAGGCTACTACTATGATTGCATGTGACCTTTGTATATGTACGGGTGTATGGGAGATATGAAGTGGACCCAGATCCCACCCACGAGGCCGTAGTGTCCACCCAAAGTCGGGGCAGCCCTGGGTGTCGGAAGAGAGGCAGTCGACGGTGGGCACGTGAGGATGTGTTGCGGGAGGGCTGGAAAGAATTGACACATCGGCCGCGTGAGTCCGCGAGTGCCTACGGCATCTATGTGCGTAGTGTCGGGCCTCGCGTTACACTTAATTTGGTTTTGGAGTCATTCAAAATTGGTGGTTGTTGGGGGCGCAGTGGCCTCTGTGCTTCAACAGCCAATATATTGCGTCGAATGCACCTGCCGCCATGCTCAATTTGTAAGAGTAGATAGAATTAAACGCTTATTATGCAGCCGTTCGCTCTCCGATCCACTGCCCTCTGGCCGTGTGCAAACACGTAGACATCCGGAACAGCAAAGAAGTTCCCTTACCAACTAATCAGAGATTATTATGGTATGTTGATACCCAAAGTAAGGAGTGAAATCTCGTTGAAGGCCGTTACCAACAGGTGGTGCAGCTCTATGCTTTTATGTTCATGTGTGCGGTATCATATGGTGGAAGAGGTGTTTTTTTATGCGAAAAATCTGGGGTTGAACAAAGATTCCATCTAAAAATAGGAGAGCTTCAACTCACTCTAAACTTACGAATTGACATAAATAGGAAATCTACAAACAGAGTTGCCTTATCTCTTTTTTTTTATTTTACCGGGAATTATCCTGGTAAAAACGTCCTCAAATTTGAATATTCCGCACACTTCACAAATGCGCGATAGATCTATCGCACATCCATTGGCTTTCAGGATCCTGCCCAAGAGTGGCCTCCCGGGGGTTGACAGATATCGATCAACAGCCACAGAGCCGCCCCTTCTGATACCGAAAGCAGTGCATGTATCGGAGCGAAGAGTTTCTCCATGGTTCGGGAGTCAACGATGGTGGACATGCCCGGATTCATCGAATCCGATACCGAGTGATATCCGGTGGTCACAAACATAAATATAGATGGTTTCTAACAAGAAACATATGAAAACCATGTGAGGGAAGGACAAGACATAACGGGTAGGTAATCATTAAATGTCCTCAATGCATTGGTGTGTGTAATATGCTAGTACGGTATTACTGACCCTAACAACAGATCTGCTTGTGTATCTATAAATGTTGTAGCAATAGAATGAGCGGGTTCGCTTGCCACTTAGAGAGAGTGTGGGAAAGACAGGAAAGATATGATATGAGCATAAACTTCGTTACCTCGCTCCCCCTCCGTGGATCGCTCCACTTTGCTCCGTGCCTCCGCGTACTATACGTCCCCATTCCTCTTTATTACTCCGTACATCACGACTACCACAGAACGATCCATAACATCCCCCAACCTCCCACAGTCAGCTGTGACACCCTGGGTACCTCCGACAGCTCCAATATAGTACCGAGCAGAGTTTGAAACAAGTGCTCAAAACGCGTCTACCAGGGCAAAATGTACAAAAGGTTACCATGTAATTGTAACGAAATGGCGTCGGATAGGTTTCGAAAAACTACTGTTTCCACGACGGGCACCTATCCGGAAAGGCACATATCTTGCGGGTTGACCGCACCGTATTCTCATGCATAGTACAGACACAGACTACTAGTACACTCCCACCGGACGGTACCGCAGTGAAGCCCCAACTCTGAATCAGTGAGGGAAAGCAAGAAGGGAAACAGTCCCAATACCTTATAGAACCTGTGGGCACTGTCGGTACCCCCTAGAGCCCAAATCCGAGTCACCGCCGTTGGTCACAGCGAGTCCGTGGTCGGGGCTGTCCCAAAATATGTGAACGCCCGAGTGACTTAATATGATCCTAAACACGCCTGGATAGTGCGACGAAGCACCGACGACCAACAGCAGGGAATCCCACGACAGTGGTAGCGATACCGGCATCATGCAGTTTGCAGCCCTTTTTTCTAAACCCCCTCCAGTGGGGCCCGTGCCTGGGGTGTTATGCTTCGGATCGGCGCGGATCACGTTATCAGGGGTTGCTTATATAATCCCGATTTGATCGGTGATGCGGCGCGTCACCCTGATTTCGATCTAGACGAACACCTTCCTTCTTTTCAACGCGATTTACGACAACAACAACATGGGCAACAGTGTCGTGGAATCTCTTGTCGCCGGCAGAGAGAGACGTTCGACAGCGGGAAACCGACTTGCGTCGCTATTACATCAAGAAGCTGACACCGAGGATACCCTCTTCCTCGAAGACGAGGACGATGTCGAATTCGAGGCCAGGGATGTGGAGGAGCTCTCGGATGTGCTCCTGGAGTCCTCTGACGACGAGGATGAGTACAATGGGGGTGGTGGTGTCGACGGAAAAGAGGGCGGACAAGGCGAGGAGGATCTCGAGGGCGAGAGGGAACTACAGCAACAAGCAAAGGAGGAGCGAGCAGCGAAGAAGCGGAAGGCTGCCGAAGCATTCTTGAAACCGAGGGTATCGACGAGAAAGCGAGTCACAATTCAGGACGGAAGCTCTACTACGACCACGGCTACGGCCGCACAAACAACGGCAACGTCCCCATCCCGGGGGTCTCCTCCGAGGCCTAGAAAGAAGTCGGAGAGGGTTTCATGGATTCCCGAGTTTACAGCTACAAGGGCCTCAAGCCGAACCCTATCATTACAAAACAGGACGGAAACAATGAAGAGGCTACAAGAGTCCGAGAAGCGCCGGCTGCATACCATCAAGTTGATGGAGGCTGCAGCTGCGAAAAAAGATAAAGAGAATCCTCGCAAAGAAATGACGCAGGTGGAGCGTTTGAAGGAGGCAAAGCTCACCGAGGAGCGGAACTTGAAAAGCTTGAACAAATGGGAAGAAAGCGAGGCGGTTAGGTTAGAGGAGCAACGGAAAAAACTTGCAGCCCTGCAAAACCGCAAGTTGGTAGGGCCTGTGATTACGTGGTGGAGTGGAACTGCCGAGTGGAACGGTGAGGGAAAACTTGTGAGGGTTGGGAAGGGATTGGTGGAAATTCTTGACAACAGCGAGGATGGGGAGAAAGGAGGGGGGAAGAAGGCTAAAGGGAGGAAGAGCAAGGGAGCAAAGGCGGCAGCGGTCAAAAGTAAAGATAAAGAAAAATCAATTACCGACGGCAACGGAGATGACAGCAAGGAGGCGGTCCAGCTGCCCCAGCTGCACCAGACAATTGATGGGCGACGAGAAAATGCGTCTAACTCAAACATTGAATCCCCACAACTACCTCCGAGTGGCCCAACCCAATCTGATGAAGCTGCAAATGCAAAATCAAATGCAATATTGACTTCCGACAATATAATCAATGCATCGTCAAATACCCCGTCCAATGCGAATCCGCAGCCATCATCCTCCACGCAGGAGGTACTTCACCGGGACCACGGACCAATCCCTATTCTCTTGGAAGGGATATTGGATTATGCGGCTCTACCGGAACCCTCTCCGGGGCGCGAGAAAGACCCACCGGATATGCAGAGGGGCGAAATATCACCTTGTACATCCCCGCATGTCACATCAGAAACAGCTAAACCAAAGACCGAGCACTCGAGTCGGAATCTCGTAGTGCTGGAAAATTTTGACCCGGTGGCTGTTCAGACCCGAGAAGGGTTAGTCAAGGTGTTATTCCCAAGCGATCCAAAGAGAACCTGGCGTATGTTGCTTTTTCTCTTCTTTTTCACCCTTCCCTTCTTTCCTCTTAATCTTTTTCTGCCCGTCATAATAATTTTATCCTTCACCCTATTCCACTTATTCCGTTTTTGAGGCAATTGGTCTCATCCCCATACCCTATGTGTCGCTTTGGGGGTTAGGTCATCAAGGATATATATTACATGGCCTTTACTGCATGCACCTCGCCAATTCCCCGGTTTGCACCTCGCGATCCGGCCCGAGTGTCATCCCAAGGTTTGGCTTGGAAAGGAGCTTTCTGGGTTGGCTGATAAAGCACTCGGCCTTTGAGCCTTCTCTCTTTCCCTTGACCCTGAAGCTTGACTCGACCCCTGACTCGTTTCTTTCTTTTTCCTTTCCCCTTTAACCCCCCCTTGTCCACTTCGAGCACGCCTCGGGCTGGCGTTACCGCCTTTGTGCGAGTATCGCAGATTTTCCTGGCGCAACTGTGGGCTGCGGGCTTACCTTTCTGTGCCTTGCTTGCTCGATCGAACTGGGATTTGAATCCCTTGCCATATATTGGAAAATTTCCCTCGGGTTCTTGCGTTTGACACCATTTACTAATCAAACCTCACTTATCCTCTACGTACCTTGGAGGGTAAATTTTATAAAGCAGAAACTCATAAACCACTTTGTGTCATCACGCATCAGCCGGCGAAGTTTCGTGATCCGGCCACGGGGATGTCTTATGCATCTCTCCATGCTTATAGAGAGATTCAAAAAATACTCCGGGGAGAAATCCAATGGAGTTGTCTATTGGGAGCATACGTCGGTGCACCCAATGTCGCCGCGAAAGGAGTGCCGGACGGATTTCTAAAATCGGACGAAGATAGACCCGCGCTGGTGGAGTGATTGATTTTTATTGGGAGGAGGGGGTGTTATTTTTTTCCTCTTTTTCCTTTTTTTCTGCGTGGTGGGTGTGTAGATCAGGGGGTATGATTGGTGGGTTAGGCTTTTTTCCCTTTCTCCATTTTCATTTTCGCACAAGTACCGGTAAAGTCGACTTTATCTTACTTTTCTCCCTAAGCTCCTCCCCCCTTCCCACTAACACTCCCTTCCCCGTGCGTTCTTTGGTGTTTTCTTTCCCTTCCCTTCCCTTCCTTCACTTCCTCCTCTTTTTTTCCCGCGTAATGTAGTTTAACTTCATGCTGCCAACTACCGTGAGCCCGCTTAGCTAGGCTTGCCTAGAGTCAATGAGACAATCACCGAATGGCGCAAACCGCAAGGGCTATCACTTTCGCTTCATGTTCTCCTGCTCCCTGCTTAACTAGCGAACAAGTGGGCGATCAAAAAGCATTACCGGTGGTTCACAGTACTCAGCTCCTATTTTTGCAAATGCTATCTCGAGTACTACACCATTACTGTATCATACCGCACCGTAGTTAATCTCTTATTCCCTATCTATCAATCTATCCACCACCACCTATCTATCTACTTATCTATCTATCAGGCCTACTACCGTGCATACCAGAGTACCGCACTTTGATGCTTGAGCGAACCCCCCCTTAATATCTATCGAATCCCCCGCTTCTCTCCTCTCATTCCTCTTTCCAACCAGTAGTTCACCCCGTCCAAATCCCCAGGGAGGAAAAATAAGATGAAAATTGCGGGGCACAACAAACAGGCGGGGGGGGAGGGGGCAGACAGGCAGCCATGTAGGTGAGTAAGGTATCAGGTTGTCTAGTGTGGTGGAGTGCGGTACGGTAGGTACGGCAGATAGGAAGGTGGGTAGGTAGGAGTAATATACCGTAACGATTGATCAACAACGCGATACAGTCAAAACGGCTCAACAACGGAATATGATGTCTCAATTTTTTCTCCCGTTCACGCAAATCTCTCGCTCATCCATTCATCCATTCACTCTTCCGTCCTTTCCTTAATTTGCTTGATGGGTGGTCAATGGGTGCTTGCCTACCTGCTGCTATCCCACCCTCACTGCCTCACTCCCTCATTTCATCATCCTCCCGCCCAATACCGTAATCCCCTGCCCGGGCGTGTCGTGGCTTGCGGTATGGTAGTGCAGTGAGTACCCTTACAGGTGGCTACGGCAGTTACAGTAGTTCGCTAGTTCATTAAGTATTGCTGGCTGACTGGAAGGTGGAGAGATAGATAGATAGATAGATAGACAACCACGGTATCTATCCCCTTTGATTAGTTAGTTTACCAGCCATTCAATTCGTTGGTCTGATATCATAAAAGCGCGGGGATTTACTGTATAGATGGGATACGACAGCTGCGCGGTTGAATGTGATGTGAGAACCCCCCCCCCAAGATTTCATCACTGTCGGACTATACTCACAGGCATCAAGCAAGGGGGTAGGTAGGTGAGCAGGAAGCCAACGGTCCGAATGCCTCCCGCTCGATGTTCCCGTCCGTAATCTTCCCCTCATGGTGTATGGAGCAGGGGGCGGAGGAGTTGGAACGGTGGTGAGTAGCTGAAAGCGGTATCATATTCTATCATGTCTACGGTAACTAGACTAGACTATCTATCTACCCAGGTTGCCGTCCGTGATACCGTTACCGGTTGAACTCGAGAGTTTTTTCGTCTTATTTTTGTGGCGGCGATCCGTGACTCTCTCTGCGCTGTACGAGCGGTATAATATTAATCCGTGGGGTTTACTATGGCTTCGCTTTTTTTATTTCGTGGTATATCAGTACCGGTATTTTGTTTTTTTTGCCCCGCGTGTCCTCGGGCGCTATCATCAGTACGAGTACTCAAGTAGTCCACCATATCGCCAACCGGCAAGAGAGCGAGGTGGGAGAGAGGGACACCGATATGAGTGGGGGGAGGTTGCACGGTGCTGCACGGTTTAGGAATGTACTACCTTATCTTCGTGGGGGTTGCATTTCTCGAGAACTTACATTATCATACCCACCATACCTGCTCGACACTGACTTGGTAGACAATAGAGCTGCTCTGACTGCGCGCTGAGTGCCAGGAGGACTCGAGCACTCGTAGAGAGGGGTGGTGATGATGATGGGGCGCAGGGCGAGGTGCTTTTGGCACATGCTAACCCCTCATTCCCTCATCCCTTCATGTTTTTTCTTTTCTTTTTTTCACTTTTTTCCTTTCCTTTCCCCTCTATTATTCAATTCTCCCCTCCTTTTCCCTTTTCGCCTTCATGACTGCTTTTCCAGCACTGTAGTCACCTCAGACTTCTGCCTTCGCTAGCTTATCACTTTTGTCGGATGATGGCTTGTGCTGGATGCACTGGATGGGCTTGATGGACCAATTTCGGTTTGGACTGATGGCGTTGTGTGGATAGGGTAAGGTTACCAATGGAAGTGATTTGCCCTACATACGCGCAATGGTATCATGGATCATGACTTGGCCATATCGCTCATCACTGTTCCCACGCCTGTCTGCCCAGGGTGCCTCCGTGAGCCGGTATTTTTTGTGAGTCCTCACGAACATTCGGCTTGTGGAGACACCCCTTGCGAAAAGGCGCGTGAGTACTGTACTCGCACAATACAGTATTGCACCGCAGAAAGGATTTATTTATCAAAAATGCCCCACACCGAATACGGTAGCAATGGACAACGAGATAGCTATTTGCCTGAAGAAAAGATGCCTGCTTTCTCCACCATTGGTTGAGGCAGGGAGAGGAAAAGGGACGAAACAATTCTCCGCATATTGATTCCCCATGAAATTAGTTCCTTATTAGATCCCCTGTTTGACTGGAACTATCAACCGCAGCTGCTCCAACGCTCAATTCGCGATCCACCACCCTTGTACTGCACACTTACATCCAGGATACCAGAAAAGGGATAGTCCCATCGCTTGATGGTATTCTGTGCTGTCGTCTGGCCACACCAATTGAGGTGATTGTGGTGGTGGTGGTGGTGGTGGTAGTTGTAGCGCACTCTACTGCGCTTAAAAGGGTGGCTAGATTGATAATGGTCGACAGTGCATATCGTATTTTTTTGGGGGCGGATTGATTGGGAAGTAGTTGTGATTCACACCCGTAATAACCCGAATTGGATGCTGGAAATGGACCCTCACTACCGGTGACCGAAGGCCAGGAACGAACTTACCCCTAGCAAATGGGAAACTCTTCTATAGAACTGCCTCGTAAGTTAATTGGCTTCTTCTTTTAATTGTAAATGGACCGGATATTTTGATCGAGTGAGCATGGTATTCGTTTGTGACCGGATAGGTTAGCTTGGTATTTTTGGACATTTCAAATGTATGCCAACACCACCAAAGATCGTATGTATTAATCACTAAGCGAAGGAATGCGATTATTGCCGCCGCTCTTGCTGCCTCTAGAATTGAGTCCTTCCTTTCCCTGCGCTTGTTTCTGGCTATTGCTTCTCGTGAGCGGGTCCGCCACGGGCCTTTTCAAAATATGAGCCGGTCCTGCCGTAGGGCAGTTCTATTGCAAAAAGGTTGTCACCACGACTCCGAAATTGTTCATATATGATAGCAGGGGTGAAGAGAGAGATTATGTGAGCGCTCATATATGCACGGATTCTCCTGCCAGATAGTGGGCCAGATAGTGGTTTTTGCAAAATCACTGATATCGTGTACGAGTAACCTTCTCGCCCCCCCCACGGGCTACGGGCGCCGCGAAGAACTCGAATAGTACGATATGATAGAAGATCAATGCGGGGACGTTGGAATTTCCCTTCTCGGCTAGAAAGGAGGAAGGGAGGAAGGGAAACATGGCAAACTCGCCCTTTGGTGAGACAAAGAAAAAGGAATATAACTTACTTGGCGCCTCTACGAACTGGGAGAGGCGACTACTGTGGAGTACGGGTACTGTACAGTACAGTGGGAATATAAAGTCCTGGAGCGCTTATCTTCTACGAATGCACTCGAGTATTCAAGTTTTGATGAGAAAACCTACTCTATTACAGTACCGGTACTAGACGATCCCTGACTCCTCCCTGCAGAATATGGTACCTGGGACGTTTTTTTGTCCCCACAGAATGCGACGTTTCGACCGGAGAATGATACTTCAACTTCTAGGCATCATAAAAAATCATAAAAAATCAAAATATCTGATTCGAATACGCCAGGTCCGGGTGTATTTATTGGTGCTTTTTTTCCTTTTTTCCTTTTAAATTCCAGGAGAGATGTTAGGCAGTGAAAATGTGATTGGATTCCCCGGGCGCCAAACAAGGTACAGTACCAAACCATGTGAACTCGGATAAACGATCCTTGTGCTGGGACGGTGGACTTGCATCTCTTAGTAAGTTCGAGTGTTTTTTATTCTTCTTTTTCACTTGTCTTGGAGAGCAGGTCTTTTACTATATTCTTTCGCCCGTTTTCCAGAGGAGGAAATCTTGGACTGCAGTAAGTTAAATACCTAGCGCAAGGATCGTTCATTTGGGTTCTTACGGTAATAAGCATTGTTTGACACAGCTTAGCGGGGTGGGAACCTCCAGGGTTTTCCTGGAGGGGAGATTTATCATCCAATTTTAAGTGCCGTGAGCGAAACGTTGCACTCGGCTGGGGTACAGTAAGATGTTGCTGGTGTCAGACCGTATCAACAGAATAAATTGAATATCCGTGTAAAGTTCTGACCTCCGCGCCAGGGCAAATGATTCCCCCCAAAAAACCTATTGGTCGATAAAAAAGGAATAGTTAGATCGTGTGTGCCACTGTTAGGCTAGCAAACTGAAGGTAGCACCATCTCCCTCCTAACTAACTCATTTTTTGTTGACTAAATTACTGCGCTGTTAGGGAGGCTTTTTGTTTCAAAACGGGGTTAAGGACCGGGCTCGGATCCCCTAGATGAGTGACGAAGCGCTCAGGGAAGGAATACCGTAAGAAATGGAATAATTGGACGGTGTGCTGAGTGGTTAAAATAGGGTATGTTTTACCAAGGGGTCGGCATGCCAATCTCTCAATATGGGTTTCACTGACTCTTGTGGTTTTGAACTAGATGTTGAGAGATTTTCTAACTCACATCTTAGTAATTAATATACTAGAAAGGATTATAGGACTACTGATAAAACAGCTAACATTTCTGATATTTATAATAACAATTATCTTGTTGAAATTGTATATAGTCATAAACTTGTACAATATATTCCATACTATAGTGAGTATCCCGAGATACTCAGTTTCCAAATAACCTCTGGTTGAAAAGTCAATATGTACAGTACAATTTTTATCATCACTGATTATTGGCCAAAAATAGTTGGTGATTGTGTAGACTAGCTAATTTTCATTGATCAGCAGATTATGGAGCTAGCAAATCACAAGAGTCTTTTACAGTACT